TTCTGTGACAGCTGATCAGGTCCTTCAACCCCAATGCAGCTGAAAAATGGGAGCCCCAGGTGTTGAGTGGTGCTGGGTCTGACCCAGTGAGATTAGGATCTGATTTAAGGAACTTGGGGGTGGGCAGGGTCGTTCCCAGCTTCAGACTCAATCAGGGACCCTAGGTGGGTGCTGCTCCCCCTCCTTTCTGCCTAGTTCTGAAAGGGCTAGGAAGGAGGGAGAGCAGTGGGTGGGGGTAGGAGGAGGAGCTTCCGCACGTCTTGAGTGGCTCCCCAGCTGGAGCTATGGTGCATATTTTAAGTGGAGTTTACAGACAATGGATCTCTCTAGGGCTTGGAGGGGAAGGAAGCAGAAATTCAGGACCATTCTGTGAATTCCCAAGTCCTTTGTGTCCATTGTGTGGGGAACAATGCTGTTTGTTCGGCACATTCACTCAAGATGGGGGGTGGGGGAGATGGTTAGGCCCCAGTGTTCCAAGGTTCTTGCAGGGGCGGGGCTGCTCAGGGATGGGGTGGTTGGAAGCTGGAGGAGCTGGGGGTGAACCTTAAGGGAGGTGAGGAGTTGCAAGTCTGGTTGTGTGAGTTTGAGCTCCCGGACAGCTCCCTTCGGTAGAAATATCACTTCCCCCCACATCTCTCTACCCTTCTCCAGAGATTCTAATCCTCAGAGGCTTCTAACCTTGATGTGCTATCCAAACGGTTGGGTTGGGGGGCTGAGAGGGAGTGGAGCTGTCTGTTCACGAAATAACCTTGGACGAGCCACTGCCTCCCTGAGGCCTCACCCTCTTGCTCTGTTTCCACAGTTGAGGGGCCAGCTAGAGATGGTCTCTCACCGCCACAAAATTAGGTCCCCTCCGTACCACATCCTCAATCTCACCAAGCCTGGGTTCCTTCCTGACTCTCACCCAGTAAATTCAACTCTCACCCAGTAAATTCACAAGCTTGGTTGCCAGGGGAGATGTATCCCTGGAGCGAAGGGAAATAAGAGATGAGGCCGGTGCAGGGCCTAGAACCTCACTGATAAGAAAATCTGCGCTTGGCCGGGCGCGGTGGCTCAAGCCTGTAATCCCAGCACTTTGGGAGGCCGAGGCGGGTGGATCACGAGGTCAAGAGATCGAGACTATCCTGGTCAACATGGTGAAACCCCGTCTCTACTAAAAATACAAAACATTAGCTGGGCATGGTGGTGCGTGCCTGTAATCCCAGCTACTCAGGAGGCTGAGGCAGGAGAATTGCCTGAACCCAGGAGGCGGAGGTTGCGGTGAGCCGAGATCACGCCATTGCACTCCAGCCTGGGTAACATGAGTGAAACTCCGTCTCAAAAAAAAAAAAAACAAAAAAAGAAAATCCGCGCTTATTGGTTAGTTAGCAGCTGCGGGACACTGTGCATACATCATCTTAACAGGGCCAGGATGAAAAGCCCTGCTCCTAGCCAGGCACAGTGGTACTGAACACCTGTAGTCCCAGCTTCTCGGGAGGCTGAGGCGGGAGGATCGATTGAGCCCAGAAGTTAGAGAACAGTCTGGGCAACATAGCAAGACCCTGTCTGTTAAAAAAATAACAAAAGCCCCATAGCTGGGTTACCCTTAACATCTGTGAGCCTCAGTTTCCTCTCTGTAGAATAAACCAGATACAATAATAATAATAATAATAAATATCTACCTCATGGGGCTGTTATGAGGATTAAATGAGATACTACATCTCACGCGCTGCATCTGGAAGCGCTCATAAATTTTGGCCACATATCTATATGTAACTACTATCTCCATTTTTCAGATATGGAAAACAAGTGTTGGAGAACGTAATATCACACAGTGAATAAATTAGGGCATGATAATTCAAATCCAGGCTGGTTGATTCTGAAACTGAGTTGCTGACCATTGCTCAGGCCTCCTGCAGAGATGGGACTGATGCCTGTCCTGACTTTCCAACAGCACCTGCCAATGGCCCAAAAGCCAAGTTTCCTTCTCTCAGCAGGAGAAGTTGCATTGTTTTACCAGGGCTGGGGTCTGAGACTCCCCTCTAGCTCTTCCTTCCCACAATCCTACTGTAAATGAGAGTCCCCTCACTCCCCAGTGAGCTCTGCAAGGTAGTGTCTTATGGTGGAGGGGCACCTGAGTTAGGGGCAGGAGCAGCCTCAGTACTCCTGGGCTGAGTTCCAGAGCCCAGTTTTTGCACCTGTCCTCTGAGCTACAGTTTGGCTGGTGGCTGGAGACCTGGGCCTGGAGGCTGAGACCTGGCCCTGCTGTGCTTAGAGCCATAAGCCCATCAGACAGCCTGGCTAGGTCTTGGATCTCCACAGAGATAGAGCTGGGAGAGGCACAAGTCCATGAACTGAGGCAGAGCTGGGAATAAGAGGAGCAGAGGCTGGAGCCCTGGGGTTGGAGGTCCACCGGGTGGCAGAAGACACTGAGCCATGGCTCCTCCCCATTCCCGTCCTATCCCTTCATCCACCTTAGTTCTACTCTTTCCATCTATTTCTCTGCCTGCTTTTGGGTTCTCCATTGAATGAGAAGAGGGAGAAAAAAAAGGGAGAGAACTGGGGGAAGGGGTGTCCACTTTGTGAGTGTGAAGCAGTTCTTGTTCTATGAATGAAGGTGATGTGGGTTCAGGGTGGAGGAAGGGGGGAGGAAGGAAGCGCGGGTAGGGCAGCCTGGGATGGGGTTGCCATGGGAACGGCAGCCTGTCAGGAGCCCTGCCTTCAAAGCCGAGGTGCGTGTGTTGCAGGTTCCTGGGGGAGGTGGGTGGTGTATGCATGTCTGGGGTGGGGGAGCAGCTCTGGTGTGAGCCCCCTGGGACTCCAGCTCCTGGATTCCAGATCAAAACCTTAACCTGGGTGGGAAGCATCATCACGAAGGCTTCCTGGCAGACACCCCTCAGCCTCAAACCCTTTTCTACAGAATGTCAGGCAGGGAGGGGATGGGATGAACCCTGCGGGGAGGTGGGCTGTGGCGGATGTTGTCTGCAACACTACCCCCTTCATTTCAAATGGGGCAGGAGGGAAAGGGGCTCTTACTGTAGGGGGAGGAATGGGGAAAAGGGGAGTTCGCTTCATCTTCTAGGCCTTGGTTAGGGCCCAGGCTCCAGAATGACAGTTTCCCGAGGCCTCTGGCTCCAATTCCCCAGAGAGCTTGGAACCTGGGAATAGGGCCCAGAAGGAAGGAAGCCCACTGGGCTGTGTGTGAGATCTCCAGCTGCCCTCACTCCCACCCCACACCACTGCCACCATGACCCTCTGGCCACTAGGGGGGGCCATGGCCCAGCATCCATGGGGTTGAGGAGCAGGTCCGTCCAGACACCCAAGGTGGCTCAGTGAGGCAGTGTGGCTGAGATGTAGCCTCAGTGGCATTTGCCTTTCATGAGGTTGGCCCAGCTCATCCAGGCCCCAGCAAAACCTGAGGCCCATTAGAGGGCACTCAACACCTTGGCACTGCCAGTTCAGTCCTGCCTTCTCAGCTGCCCAAGCAGACCTTTCCAGAGACCACCAGCCAATTCAAAACAGCTCTCAAGTGTCTGCCTCTCGCCAGCACTGTGCTAGGCATTGCAGGCGATTCTGAATCTAATGGAGGAGATGCACACTTACATAGTGCACAGCAGAGGCTCAAAACACACGTGCCAAAGTCAGGAAAGCCTGGGTTTCAGTCCTCACGTTACTATTTCTAACTGGTGAGTGACCCTGAGCAAGTTACTTAATTTGTGTGTCAGTTTCCTTATCTGTAAAATGATAATAGTACTGGAGATGCAGGGAGCTGTGAGGAGGATTAAACGAGAAAACATGCTTAAAGCTTTTGCCGCAGCATCTGGCACATAGGAAACCCTCAATAGGCCGGGCGTGGTGGCTCACGCCTGTAATCCAAGCACTTTGGAGACCAAGGTGGGTGAATCACCTGAGGTCGGGAGTTCAAGACCAGCCTGGCCAACATGGTGAAACCCTGTCAAAAAAAAAAAAGGAAACTATTGTTAGTAGGTGAACCAAGGTGCTGAATACTAGCATGGAGGAAGAAGCAAAACGATGAGCAGTCCTGGAGAAAATAAAACTTCAGTCTGGGCTGGGCATGGTGGCTCATGCCTCCTAGCACTTTGGAAGGCCAAGGCAGGAGGATTGCTTGAGCCCAGGAGTTCAAGACCAGCCTTGGTGACATAGGGAGATCCTGTCGATACAAAAAAAAAAAAAAATTAAAAATTAGCTGGGCATGATGGCACATGCCTGTGGTCTCAGCTGCTTGGGAGGCTGAGGTGGGAGGATCACTTGAGCCCAGGAGGTGAAGGCTGCAGTGAGCCATGATCATGCCTCTGCACTCCAGCCAGGGCGATGGAGTGAGACGTTGTCAAAAAAAAAAAAAATTCAATGTGTTGAGATGATCATGGAGGGCTTCCTGGATGTGGTGCCTGATGTGGGTCCGGAGGAGGGACGGTATTGCTATAGCAGGGTTGGGAAGGGCTGTAGCAGGTAGAAGGAACTTCCATGAGGAAAGGCATTTGGGAGCCTTACTTTATTTCATCCTTGCAGCACAAAATGGCAGCCCCGTGTCTCCCCCCGGGGTGTCTCTCTCCTACACCCCTATTTCCAGAGGCTCTCCCACCCACCCAGAACCTGCCTTGGGCTCCCTCCTTCTGCTCCTCCTCCTCTTCTCTTCTCTTTCACTCCCACTCCTATTCATCTTCTCCTTCTTCCCCTAGAGAAGCCAGCTCAGAGAGAGCACTTTCACAAACAGTGAGCCCTGCCCTATGAGCGCCTGGACCAGAAGTTCTCACTCAGGGGTGCTTCTGTCCCCCAATGGGACATTTGCCAACGTCTGGAGACGTTGGTTATCACAACTGGGGGTGGGGGGATGCTGGAGCTTCTAGTGGGTGGAGGCCAGGGATGCAGCTAACATCCTGCAGTGCATAGGACAGTCCGCACCACAAAGAAGCACCTTTGACTCAGGTCAAATAGTCCTGAGGCTGAGAAACCTTGGCTTAGGCTGAGAACTGCAGCTGGGGAGAAATGCAGCCCCCCGCCCCAGGCTCCTGATGTCCTGCCTCCAAAGCCCCACCCCAGGAGCCTCTGATCCCCTTCCCCAGCCTCTCCCCATCTTCTAGTCCAACCCTCAGTGTCCCCTGGCCTCATACTACCCGCTACTCCTGCGCTTCTGCCCCCTCTCCTAGGGTCTCGTCCCTGCTCTTATCCTCTCCCACCGCAGGGGCTGTGGAAGGCCTGTCAGGCAGGAGTCAGCCTGCGGCTGCACGAGGCTTCGGAGACCGGGCTGCCTGCTGCACTCGGTGCTGCCTGTCCACTGATTGGCCGAGGCTGCCGTTTCCATGGTGATCTCCGGCAAAGCCCAGGGCCCCCCCTCTTATTCCCCCCGCCCCCCACCCCCCACCCCCCGCCGCCCCGACAGGCCCTATTCAGTGGCGAGAGCAGCGACAGGCAGGTTAATAAAACAGGAGCCGCGTGAGGAGCCGGGCTGTGGGCCGAGGTCCTAGCGTGGTGGCCCGCCCAGAGGAGAGGGGGACGAATCGGGGCAGGGAGCCAGGAGCTTGCCTGCTGCCCAGTCGCCGCCCTCCTCGACTCTATCCACTGCAGGTTCTGGGGCTGCACCAGCTCTAGGGGACTTGGGGTTCGTCTCCTGGAATGCACCTTCCCATAGTGGCCTCTGGGGGCAGTGTCCCCTCCCCAGTGGGTTGCACTGGCCCCCTGTAATCAGAAGGGTTGGAGTGCTGGGGCTGGGGCTCGGGAAGGGGAGAGATAGAGATAGGGTAAAGAAGATAAATGGCAAGGAAAGACTGGAATGGGAATCTGGCGGGAGACTGGGGTGAGATGGGGATGGGGTGGGAGTGAAGTCCAGGTTGGGGATGGAGAAATGAAACGGGGAATGAGGAAGGAGATGGGAATGAGGCCAGGGGAGAAAGGAATGAGTTGGAGGAAATGGAGGGTAGAGAACTGCGCAGGAGAAGAGGCTGGGATGGGGAAAGAGAGGGAGCTGGTGGAAGGTGCGAGGTGGAGATGGGCATGGGATGCAGGAAGAAGGTGGAGATGAGAAATTGGTATGGGAGCTGAGATTGAGTGAGATGAAGGATGGGGTGGGAGAGAGACGGAGAGGCTGGTTAAGAAGGGTGTGATGAGGGAGTGTCCCGGAGGTAGCCACAGCCTCTGACTAGCTCACCTCTGTGCCCAGCATAAGTGCTCAGGAAGTATGTGCTTGTCACATAGTCCGTACTCGCACATGTTTGTGGAATGAATGAATGGGTGGGAAACGCTGGGCTGTAGAGGGGAGCACTCTCCTGCTGGAATCGATGCCACACCTCTTCCTCAATACCAACACTGAGTGCTCAGTGTTGGAGTGGGGTCTGTGCCAAACTCCTTCATGGACGACCTCATTCAGTACTTTCAATAATCCTTTGAGGCAGGCACTATTACTATTTGACAGAGGGCCAGAGAGGTTGAGTAACTTGCCCTAAGTTACACAGCTCTGATTTTTGCCTCAGATATGGTGGACACATGGTCAGCTCCTGTGTCTGGACCTGAGTATTTCTGGCTGAAGACCCAAACCACAGAGATTGGCAGGGAGTTCTGTGTCACAAGAGCCCAAGGATGGAGTCTGGCTGTGGTGCTGAGCAGAGAGGCAGGCTCCTGGATTGCCATCCGTGGCTCAGTTTTCCTGGCTGGTGGAGATGCTAGGTCTGCTATTGCTTGGTGCATCATTGCAGTCGCAGCTCCATATGACAGATGCAGAGACCCTTAGCAATTCTCAAATGTTGTCCCTGAGGCCATCCATTTTGAGACAACTGGGAAGCCCAGAGCAGGTGCCCCAAGATGTGGAGTGGAAAGGACTTTGAAATAAAATAATATACCGGCTCTGCCATCTGTGTTGTGACCTTAAGCAGAGGACTTAATTTCCCCAAGCCTCAGTTTTTCCATCTATAAAATGGAGAAAATAATACCTCCTAGGGTGATGATGCAGATTACAGTGAGATGATGTCTGTGGAACATCTGGCGCAGAGAAAGTTCTCAGGAAATGTGGTTCCCTTCTCACCAGGGTGCCTTTGCAGGTGCTTCTATTTCTCCTTCTGGGAAGTATGTGATCCCTCACTCCAGGACCCAGAGGGAGAAGGAGAAAGAAGGGACTCCCGCCTCTCAGTGTCTGTGTTGTCACCACCTCCAGAGGACTCAGTGTGAGAGAGGGGAAACTGAACTTTATAGGCTTAGAAAAACAAGCGGGTTGAGTTTGTCCCATGCAGTGAGGACTTTTTTTTTTTTTTTTTTTTTTTCTCCTCAGGGGGTTGATGGATGCAGGCTGAAGGAAGGAGGTGAGGTTCACACCCCATCCTTCTCCCTCCACTCTAGCCCTTCCCCACCCCCAGTCTGAGCAAGGGAGGAGAACTGAGAGAGGCCAAGCCTCTGAACTGGAGCCAGAGCCTCTCCATCCCGTGCCGACCAGCTGGCTGCTGCCCTTCCAGCCTGCTCGTGGCCAGTCAGGCCAGGCCAGTGGCTAGGAGCCCAGGCCTGGGAGGGCAGAGGCGGCTGCAGCAACCTGAGCACTCGATAAACCATTAATTCTTAATAAACGACAGGCTGTGCATTATTTAACAATAATGATACTTTCTGTTCCATTATAGATTAAAACACCGGCCTCTTCTTATTAATCCTGCATTTCAAAAGC